GTTCTCTTCTGGGGAGAGGAAACTGGGAATCCGCTGAGGACCGCCCAGCACTGCCAGGAAGTAAGTTGAGGAGGGAAGGAAAAGAATTTCAATGAGTTCGGAGAGCTTCTGCTACCCCCATAACAGAACAGGGATGGACAGACAGCCGGAGAGTGTGAAAACTGACTCTTCGGCATAACTAAATAGGAAAGGCACTTCCAACTCTGTAAAAATGAACCCCACTAAAGAACAGCTCACCCACTACCCAACTCTCCACTTCCCTCTAGATATTCACTACCAACTACCCAACGCCTGAAAGAGAGGGCGGCTCCCGTGTCACGTGACGCTGTCGTCACGTGACCCCGTCCTGTGCGAGCCAGGGCGCAGTCCAGCTCCCCGCAGCCCGAGGGAGGGGCCCGTTGTGCCCACACCCGGCCAGGTTCGACCATGCTGTCCCGCCTGCTCAAAGAACACCAGGCCAAGCAGAATGAACGCAAGGAGCTGCAGGGTGAGCGCAGAGTCCCATAGGCCGCTCCCGGCCGCGGCCTAGCTTCTGCCGGAAGCCTGGACCTCGGGTGACCTCCCAGTCCAGGGGAGGGCGCCGGCTAGCGGGCGACCCGAGTGCGGGGCAGGCAATTGGGGGCGGCACTTCTGGAAACTCCGTTCCCTCGCCTACCCGGCCCGGTCCCCTCGGCACTGCTCGGGTCCCTTCGGCAACTCCCCCAATCCCGCCTAGGCGGTGTCTGAGCCCCGCCCCCGGCTCACGCGGTGCCAATTGGCCCAGGCAGCCTGTCACCCCGGAAGCAGGAGGGAGTTGGGGACCGCCCAGTGGCCGGGTTCCTAGGGTCTGCCACCCTAGCCAAGGCTGTGAAGCGCGACTTTCCTAAGGCCCAGCCTGGGAATCCTGGAATTGCCAATCCATTGCCCAAAGTAGTGGAGAAAGGGTGTCTGGGACGAGTCCTCGGCGTGCCTGCGGGAGTCCCTTCCCCTCTCAGGGTGCCAGTTTCCTCGCCTCCAAAATAAAGGGGTTTGGTTTTGTTTTATGTAAGTAAGGTGGTTCTTTGTAAAGGTCTGACGTTAGTTGGCAGTTTCCAGAATAGTAGTAAGTGCATGGGGGAACCCATTAGCACCATGTCTCAAATACAAAGTCTGTACCGATACCTTCCCCAGAGAAGAGGCGGCGAGAGGCCATCACCGCAGCCACCTGCCTGACCGAAGCTTTGGTGGATCACCTCAATGTGGGGTATGAACCTCTTTCCTCAGCTCGTTTCCTCCATCCACCCTGATTAGACAAGGTCTGGGCCATCCTCCTGAAGGATCCAGGTGCCATGGTCGCTGCCCTGACCTCCCTCCCCCTAATGTAACTTCATGGAAACTTGAGTCAGCTTTGACCCCTAAGCAGCTGCAGTGGTTGGGAAAGCAGCCAGAATTCCCCCCTTCCCCATACTGATTTCCCTGGCACAACTTGATGCCATCTGGCCAACTCGATTCACCCTTTTTGAGTGCAGCTGTCACTTGAGTGGGAGGGAAGGACAACCTCTCTCACCACATACCCTCTTTCCTTCCTCACCTCCTACTCTCTGGCAAGCCTGGGAAACAACTGGTGGGAACAAGACGGCATGGCTGGTACAAGTGAGGGAGAGCCTGTGCCAAGATCTATGACAAAACCAGGCTGTCTCTTCCCTTCCTTCTGGGGTCTCCAGGGACCCTACCCCCAACCTCAACCCTAAATGAGAAAGCCAGTGATAGCCAAAGACTTGGAAAGATTTCCTGGACCTGTGTGACTCAGAGAGAGTGCAGAGATGGTGACTTGATAAATCTGTCTACGGGAAGAAAAGAGGCACATGTCATGCCTTCCACTCAGGGCAAGTAGAACAGCCTGGCTGTAAATTCAGAGGCTGAGTCATCCAACGGAGTTGTGCAGGGCTTAGGGTCATCTCCATTACTCATCTGAGAGGAGATTAGGGGGGAAATGGCTGTGGTTGGGGCCTCTGGTCTCCTTTGTCTCCGGACAGCACTCTTCTCTCAGTATTTTCGCATTGGCACCTCCTTTGCTACCAATTCTGAGGCTGGCCGGACTTCTCTCTATTCTATTTACTTGCTAGACACCACCCCACTTTCAAGCTTAGAGGGCAGCTAAGCCAAATCCAGATTAGAAAGGGTTTTGTGTTGCTTCCCACAGCTCCTATTCTCCAGAAAATGAAACAAAGGCTTAGTGTGTCTCAGCCCCTTGTCAGGTGCCCAGCCCACTTTCTTGGACGCCCCCTACCCTTTGCCGCCTCTGCCCCCACACATTCCAGTGGGTGGTGGCACCGGATGTGGCGGCTCCTTACTGACCTAGAGCTTCAGGATAGGGAATGAAAAGGTCATCTGCTAGTAAGAGAGGGAACAGTGATTACATAAAGGGGGAAGCAAAAAACACTGGTGGAAAATGGAGCACTAATGTTGTGGTAGTAATGGCAGTCACAGCCAGCACCTGCGAGAGAGAGAGAGAGAGAGAGAGAGAGAGAGAGAGAGAGAGTTCTCTTTGTGGGTGAAAGGGACTGTGGGTGGGAGAGTGGGAGAGTTGGGTGTGATATCAAATGTCCATATGCCTGTAATCCCAGCACTTGGACAATAGAGGCAGAAGGATTAGGTAAAAGACAGCTTCATCGATATAGCAAGTTTGAGGTCATCTTGGGCTCCAAAAGATCCCATCTCAAAGGGTGAGGGGCCCTACCCCATCTCAGCTACAGAAACTCCTTGAGAGAATGAGAAATGCTAAGCTTCTAGTCCACTCATCTTTCTTGGGAACCCTAGGGTTGGAGGAAGGAGCCTGCTTCATCTTGGGTCACATCTAGAAGGCTTCCCATCCTACCTCCTGGCTGATGTCCCACCACTGTCATAGAAGAGCCAAGAAAATCTCCCAGGATAGGCTTATTTGACCCAGGGTTCCTAAAGGGAGTGTTTACTCTCCCATCCCACCCCATATTCAGGGAGGGGCCTGATTTCTTTCTTGACCGCTTACAGATATCACCAGGCTTCGAATCACTGCCAGATGTGTCCCTGCTGCTGAATTTCCCATGCTCTCTTGTCCCTCCCAGCTGTCCCTCAGGGATATCCCCCAGGTTAACATTCCCTACCCCATCTCAGCTACAGAAACTCCTTGAGAGAATGAGAAATGCTAAGCTTCTAGTCCACTCATCTTTCTTGGGAACCCTAGGGTTGGAGGAAGGAGCCTGCTTCATTTGGGGTCACATCTAGAAGGCTTCCCATCCTACCTCCTGGCTGATGTCCCACCACTGTCATAGGCCCTGGAGACCACCCCCTATGAACTGGATGAGCTGACATCCTCTCTCCTCCAATCCTTAGTGTGGCCCAGGCCTACATGAACCAGAGAAAGCTGGACCATGAGGTGAAGACCCTACAGGTCCAGGCCGCCCAGTTTGCCAAGCAGACAGGCCAGTGGATTGGAATGGTGGAGAACTTCAACCAGGCACTTAAGGTGGGCCACACTCAACAAATCGTTGCCCATGGGCTATGTTCAGTCTCATAGCTGTCTCAGACTGAGGGTTAATGAGGAAGTGGGGATGGTCCCAGATATTCCTTCTGATGACAGAAAGGCTAGAAAGAAAAAAAAAGCAGATTCTTGGGATGTAGCTCAGTGATACGTTTAGGGCCCTGGGTTCAATCCTTAGCCCTACAGAAAAATCTCCAGTCATACCAGCTATCCTGGAGGATAGCGTCAGCCCAAGAGTTGAAGCCAACCTGAGCAATGTTGCAGTGATCCATCTCAAAGGCAGACAGACAGACAGACAGACAGACAGACAGACAGACAGACAGACAAGCAATCAGTGTATGTGAGTGAGCAACCTCAGCCTAGGAAGCACAATCTACCTACCCTGATTCCTGGCCTCCAATCTCCTTTCCCCTTCCCAGGAAATTGGGGATGTGGAGAACTGGGCTCGGAGCATCGAGCTGGACATGCGCACCATTGCCACTGCACTGGAGTATGTCTACAAAGGGCAGCTGCAGTCTGCGCCATCCTAGCCTCTCCCCTCCCTCCCGCTCCCAGATGGGAGACTAGTAGGTCATGAATAAAACACAAGGTTCCTTTCTGTGTGGTGTTTGATGGAGTCACTAGCTCCTGTATGGTAGTGGGGGGGGGGGGAGTCGTCCAAGGTTGTTTCCCTGTGGAACTAGTGCCTTTTGGTGGAGGGTGACAATATTCCTTACTTCGCCTACTCTTTCTTGAGCCTGGTACAGGTGCCTTTTGACTGAGCAGAAAGTTTCCTCATGCCTGCCCAAGGGAGGTTTCTGCTTGAAACTTTCTACTTCAGACTTCACTTTCCTGCAGAGAAGAATTAAGGCAGGGAGCAGACCTAGTCCTCGGCTCTGGCTCTCTGCCCCACCACATGGTCATGTGCTCTCCCAGGCTGCTACTAAGCAGTGTCATGAGTCTGGGCCAGGTGGGAGATTAATTCTTGGGGGCACTTTGGGGCTGAGAAGGAAGAAAAATGGCAGGTCGGGGGCCACCCACAGAGAGGGGCAGCTGCCATCCTTGGTAGTTCCCACCTCCTAGGAGACAGCAGCATAGATGGTCAGGGATCCAGGCTGAGAAAGACAGCCAAGCCCTGGGCAGAGGCGCTTTCTGCCGGAACCTAGCTTCAGCCAGGCAGGCTTCAGCCTCTTAGCTAGCTCCTCCTCATCATCATCACTGCCCAAACATATAAGACACTTAACACTCCTGCTCTATAGCAAGAGTCCATCCCTCCAGACTTTGGCCTTCGCTGTAGCTAGTGTGAGAGGCTGGGAAGGCTGGGAGCAAAGTCTCTTAAGCAGACAGCTACAGCTTCACACGTGTGTGCCTGCCAGCTTTCCCCAGAGGTAAGTGGAGTGGTGGGAATGGGGGAGCTATAAAAAGACAAGGTTGAGACGGCATATATTGATCATTTGAGCATCAAGCTTTAAGCTTCGGGCATCTTCCTCACACTTCATCCCTTTGATCTTCTACCACACTGAGATGGGACTGATGGGTATTGTAGCTCAATTTGCTAGATGAGAAAGCAGGTTGGTTCCAAGACCAAGTGAAGGTATCCGGCTTCACATAGTAACTTTGAAGCCACAGGACTGAAATGCAGGGCTGTCGGTTCCAAAAGCAAGGCAAGGGTGCATTCAGAGGGTTGTGATGTCCTGGATTAGTAGAAGGTACAACGGTCACCCAGGTCCCTCTGCTCCCACACAACATGTTTGCACACAGGACCAGCTCGGGTTTATTTCTTTAGCTACAAAGACGGAGTTTGCCCATTTGTTTTGCACAATAAGCCGTAGCTTGCCCATCATCTGCCAAGCAGTTTCCTGCTTTGTTTGCTCAGAGCAGTCATTCCCAGCCAAGTAGATGTTAGGGGCCAGGGCTGAGGGGCAAAGGGAATGACAAGCTTTCCTGCTCAGTCTAGGCTGCCATCTGCAGGGCACTGCATCTAACCATGTGGCTGCCTCTGCTTCTGGGTGCCTTGCTGTGGGCAGTGCTGTGGTTGCTCAGAGACCAGCAAAGACTCCCTGCCAGCAACGCTTTCATCTTCATCACTGGCTGTGACTCAGGCTTTGGGCGCCTTCTGGCATTGCAACTTGACCAGAAAGGCTTCCAAGTCCTGGCCAGCTGCCTGACCCCCTCTGGGGCAGAAGACCTACAGCAGATGGCCTCCTCCCGCCTCCACACAACACTGCTGGATATCACTGATCCCCAGAACATCCAGCAGGTTGCCAAGTGGGTGAAGACACATGTTGGAGAAACTGGTGAGGAGTGCAGCCACCAGGAACCTGGTCTGTACGATAATCCCAGGAGTCACTGAGGCTGTGGGGGAAGAATAGGGTTCAAATCCTTCCAGGGAGGAAACACATGAGAACGCCTCACCTCCCCAAAACCCCCACCCTGTGTCTGTCATCTCCCCACAGGGCTTTTTGGTCTGGTGAATAATGCTGGTGTGGCTGGTGTCATCGGGCCTACACCATGGCTGACACAGGATGATTTCCAGAGTGTGCTGAACGTGAATACACTGGGTCCCATTGGGGTCACCCTTGCCCTACTGCCCCTGCTACAACAGGCCCGAGGCCGGGTGGTTAACATCACCAGTGTCCTGGGTCGTCTAGCAGCCAACGGTGGGGGCTACTGTGTCTCCAAGTTTGGCCTGGAGGCCTTCTCTGATAGCCTGAGGTGAGAATGCACAGCTCCAGGCCCCAGCCTGGAGAGGGACAGGGATCCTACTCAAACAGGCACATCAGTTGCTGGCACAGGCAACATAAGGAAGATGGAAGAGGAGACAGGGTTATAGACAGGTGAAACCTCAAGCTTACCACCTACAAGCTGTGTCTTAAATAGCTTACACTTGTGTGGTGTGTGCGTCTCGAGTATTTGAGACAAGTTTCACAGTCATCCTGACTGACCTGAAACTCACAGAAATCAGCCTGCCTATGCCTCCTTAGTACTGGACATAAAGGTGTGTGCTACCACGCTACTTAGTCTTTGAGTCAGGGTTGCACTCTGTAGTCCAGGCTGGCTCCCAATTGTGGGCAATCCTACCTCAGCCCCTTGAGCACTGGAGGTTTGAGCCACCACACACCCAACTAGGTTATTTCTGTTTTTCTTCCAAATCTGTTTAGAGTGAGACTTGCCTCAAGGGAGTCCAGAGCAAAGTAGGGGGTGTGAAAGAGCCCATCAGTGCCTAGATGCTGGGGAAAGCCTTTTGTTATTTATCTTTAAATGGAATTTACACACACACACACACACACACACACACACACACACACAGCGTGTGCACATGCACACATGATTGTCCATGGCATGCGTGTCAAAGTAAACTTATGGGCGTCTGTTCTCTTTCTGAGGTGATGAGGGTTAATGGAAACAGCCTTACCCAATGAGTCATCTCACCAGCTCCTCGTATCACTACTAAAAGTAGAAAAACTAATGTTTTGCCAGGTGTTGGTGGTGCACACCTTTAATCCCAGCACTCGGGAGACAGAGGCAGGCAGATCTCTGCGAGTTTGAAGTCACCCTGGTCTTCAGAGCAAGTGCCAGGATAGGCTCCAAAGCTACACAGAGAAACCCTGTCTCAAAAAACAAAAAAAAAAAAAAAGAAAGAAAGAAAAACTAATATTTTTTTTATTTCATTCTCTCATCCATTCTATAGGACTGGCTATTACTATAGAACTACTTAGTAGGAGCATTCAGACATGCCCCTATGCCAGGTCTGCCCCTCACTTTTGAGACAGGGTCTTTCTATATAGACCAGGAGCCTCCCCCCCCCCTTTTTTTAATGTGTATTGGTGTTTGGCCTGCATGTATGTCTATGTGAGGGTATCAGAGCCACTGGCACTGGAGTTACAGGTGAGCTGCCATGTGGGGGCTGAGAATTGAACCTAATTCAGCTAATGCTCTCAACCTGTCCTCTTCCTTTCCTTTCTTTCCTTTCCTTCCTTTCCTTCCCTCCTTCTTTTGAGACAGGATATCACTTCATAGCCTACACTGGCCTCAAACTCACTATTCCAGTGCTGGGATCACACATTTGTTCCTCCACTTAGGGCTTACCGTCGTAATGTTTTAAACAGTAATGTTCAAAGTTGGTGAGAGTCTAAAGGAGCTATAGAGGATAGTGGGAGCAGCAGAGGCTGAATTTGAGACAGAAGCCCAAGTTGTTCAAGAAGAGCCCAACTAGTAAAGAAGGCTGCCTTCATCACCACATCCAACATAATTTCTTTGTCTCTTGTCCCCTCCCCTGTTCTTCCAGTCAGCATCATGGAACACAGGTGCACTTGGATCTACCCAGGCCAGAGCAGTGGGATGCACCCCTACTTGAACTATCAAGTCATCTACCTGTGGTGATACATTATTTATGATTTATTAAAGCTTGCCTGAGGATTTAGAAAGCAAAGTCAGCCACAAGCCATAGAAACCAGGCACACACCTTTAATCCCAGCAGCCAGAAGCTAGGAGGTGCTGGTATACACCTTTAATTCTAGGACTCAGGATTAAGAGGTAGATGGATTTCTCTGTGTCAAAGCCACCCAGGGATACACAAAACTGAATCAGTCTAAAGGAGTAACAGATCACACACCTTTAATCCCAGCACAAGAGGGGTATATAAGACAGGAGCCAAGAGGCAGTAGAGGCATTCATTCTCCAGCCACACTGAGGAGAGGCAGCAGTTTGAGACTTGGTGAAGAGCTCGTGCATGGATCAGCCCTTTCAGCCTGAGCTAGTGGTGAGAGCTAGTGGCTAGCTGCTTTGCTTTCTGAATCCTCGGGCAAGCTTTATTAAATCATAAATAATATATCACTACACCTACCAGCTAATACCAGTCTAGATCCCTCACAACCCTGGACTCAGTCTTATGTTTTGGAAGCTACAGAACGAGGCTCTAGATCAAGAACTGGTGGTTGCCGGGTGTTGGTGGCACACGCCTTTAGTCCTAGCACTCAGGAGCCAGAGGCAGGTGGATCTCTGTGAGTTCGAGACCAGCCTGGTCTACAAGAGCTAGTTCCAGGACAGCCTCCAAAGCCACAGAGAAACCCTGTCTCGAGAGAAAAAAAAAAGACCTGGTAATCTGCAGTTATCAACCAGATGGGCTCAGCTGCCTTCAGGCTAATAATGGTTTTTATACATTTAAGTGGTTAAATTGTAAATAGTTATATAAGTACATTAATTTGGCCAGGTATCATAGCATATAGCTTTAATCCCTCAGGGCATTAAAACTCACAGAGCAAGAGCATCTCTGTGAGTTCTAGGCTAGCCTGGTCTACAGAGCAAGTTCCAGGACAGTCTCCAAAACAATACAGAGAAACCCGGTCTCGAAAAAAAAAAAGAAAGAAAGAAAGAAAGAAAGGGGGGGCAGGATGCTAAGACAGAAGGACCCTGAGTTCAAAGTTAATCTGGACTACATTAGCAGCGTGAGGCTTTAGGCTTGATCCACTACCCACTACCACCAAAGGGGGGAAAAAAAATAAAGCTTGCTAACTATTAACCTAGTTAACAGGAGAAAACAGAGATGTGCATGGTGAAATCCACCCATAATTCCAAGACTAGAGAAGCTGAGACAGGTTGAGGCCAACCTGGGCTACAAAACAAGATCTTTCTCAGCCGGGCAGTGGTGGCGCACGACTTTAATCCCAGCACTCAGGAGGCAGAGGCAGGCGGATCTCTGTGAGTTCGAGACCAGCCTGGTCTACAAGAGCTAGTTCCAGGACAGCCTCCAAAGCCACAGAGAAACCCTGTCTCGAAAAACCAAAAAAAAAAAAAAAAAAAACAAGATCTTTCTGTATGGTGGTACAGGCCTGTAGCCCTAGCACTTTTTTGGGGGGAGGGGCAGGTTTCAAGATAGGGTTTCTCTGTGGCTTTGAAGGTTGTCCTGAACTAGCTCTTGTAGACCAGGTTGGTCTGGAAGTCACAGAGATCCTCCTGCTTCTGCCTCCCAAGTGCTGGAATTAAAGGCGTGCGCCACCAACGCCCAGCCATCCTAGCACTTTCAAGGCCAGCTTCTACTACATAGTACCATTCAAGCTACATGAAAACCTATGTCAAAAAAATTTTTTTTCAAGCCAGCAAAATGGCTGAGCAGTTAAGTGCACTTGTTTACAGGCCCAACACCCGGAAATCAGTGGACATACATGGTAGGAGAGAACCAAGTTGTGCTCAGACACCCAGACATGAATAGTGGCACACACATACACAAAGTAAGTACAATTTTTTTAAGTACAAGAAGTTTTCAAGACTAGCCTATGCTACATAGTGGGACCCTGTCTCATAAAATAAATGTTTAAAAACGAGAGAAAAATATCCAGACTAACATGATGGCTCACACCTGTAATCCCAACACATGGAAGGTAGAGACAAAAGTCACCAGGAGTTCAAGGCTAGCCTGGAACATGAGACCCTGTCTCAAAAACCAAAAACGGGGTCACAGAGATGACTGGGAAAATAAGAATGATTACTGCTCTTGCAGAGGACCCAGGTTTGGTTCCCAGCACCTACAAGGTGGTTCATAACAGCCTGTAACTGCAGTTGCAAGGTATCTGACACCTTGTAACCAACAAAGGCTCCTGTGCACATATGGTGCACATGAACTCATGCAATACACATATAAATAACCAATAATCTTTTTTTTTAAGAAAATACAAGGAAAACAAAGTGAAAGATACCTCCCCCTGGGCTGGTGATGGTATGGCTCAGTTGCTTACATACCACACACACACACACACACACAGGCCCTAGGTTTATCTTCAGTGCCAGAGGAAAAAAAACAACTTCCCATGGTCCTCATCCCAAGCCAACTAGCAACAGCCTTTCCTGTCAGGACATGTGTCCTTACACTGTGACACCATTCCATCTTAGACTCCTCACTCCTGGAAACCTAGGGTATAAACCCATAAACCCCTCTGCCCACCCTCCAGGCGGGACATGGCTCCATTTGGAGTACAAGTCTCCATTGTGGAACCTGGCTTCTTCCGAACTCCTGTGACCAACCTGGAGAGTCTAGAGAACACCCTGAAGGCTTGTTGGGCCCGGCTACCACCGTCTACACAGGCCCAGTATGGGGAAGCCTTCCTCGCTTCTTGTGAGTAGCTGGGCCCATATTGAGTGCATGATGGGAAAAAGAGAGGGCTAGAAAGGTCAGGCCTAGTAGGGAGGAAAACGGGGAGACAGAGGGAGGTGTGGTCACTTCCTGAACTGGGCTACCAGCCCAGGTGATCTGTAAGACAGACTAAGATGGGATGGAGGGGAGGCAGGGACCACGTGCACGCTAACGATGCATCTCCTAAGATACAGATCTCCAAGTTCAGCGTCGCATCATGAACCTGATCTGTGACCCAGACCTAACGAAGGTGACCAGCTGCCTGGAGCATGCCCTGACTGCTCGTCACCCCCGAACCCGCTACAGCCCAGGCTGGGATGCCAAGCTGCTCTGGCTGCCGGCCTCCTACCTTCCAGCCAGCCTGGTGGATGCTGTGCTCACTTGGGTCCTTCCCCAGCCTGCCCAGTCAATCTACTGATTCCAGCTTTCCAGCAAGAGGCCGATTTTGAAGGGCAAAACATTTATCTCTGTCTCCACTCTCTGGTGCTGCCTGGTTCCTGGCACAAAGTCAGCTCTCAATAAATATGTATTGCTTTAAAAGAAAAAGTAGGTGAACAGAAATGAAGGTACCTGTGAGAGCCTGACAAAATTTCTAAGATTTCTAAAATCCCAAAGCTCCCTAGGGCTGGAACTCTCAGGCTTCTTTAGTGCCTGCAAAACTTCTGTTGTCCACTGGGGGGTGTAAGGAACTACCTTGCACTTAGAGATGTTTTTTGAAGCTGCACTTGGAGAGATGGCCACCGGAGGGCACTTTTGTCTGCTTTTTCTACATAGAGTAGTGAGAGTTCGTTTGCACCTGGCAAGGCATAATCTAATGTTTCTGGGGATGAAAATGGTCAAAGCCGGAGGCTTCCATGGAAGAAGGAAATACGTAAATTCCCATTACCTAAGGCAAGGATCAAGGACACTGGCCACACAGATCTTAAGCAACATAACCATTCTGACAGTCGCCAGGTCTCCTTGAGGACTGAGGGGGAAGGAGTTTGCGGGCCCTCAAGGCACCAGGAGGCCAAAATAGACATGGGTCAGGCTTTACCACGTAGGTCCTTTGTGGGAAAACCCTCTGACTTACGCAGGAGATGGCCTCAACACATACTCCAAGAACACTGAAGGTACACAAAACCAGGGGTCAGGGAGGGCACTCGGACACATCCTCCTTGATCCCCCACTTCTCCCACTGCCAACCCAGCCAACACCAACAAAATACCCCTTTCCCAAACTCCCCCTAAATGGCCTGCCTATTCCCAGGGCAGGGGTAGGGAGAAGGAAAAGGAAGGGGCCATCATCATTCTAAGATAAACTGAGACCATCTCCTTTTTAGGTCTGAAAAAATAATCCGTTTAATTGAAAAACCTGGAGAATCCATTCCCTTAGATGAAAAGACGGAAGAGATCAGACCCGCCCCCTACATTACTTCATAGCCACTTCGGATACTTTTCACCAGACAGCAAGAGAAGATAATTCCCAGGATCTACAAGGAAAGATGGGAACGAGGATGGAGAGGAGGCAGGGCAAGCTTCCCCAGACCCGTCCAAGGGCCGTTCTTCCCAGGCCAGCCCCGCCTGCTCCCCAGATGGTCTGGATCGCCCCAACCCACAGCATTTCTTACCTCCACAAAAGCAATGCCCAGGGCTGCTGCAGCCACCAGCAATACATTCTTCCTCAGCCAGACCCCTATATTCTCCACGCAGCCCTGAAGGGAAGAGGCAAGCATGGATACCAACAGAAAGAAACTTCCTACCTCCCTCCCCACCTCTCTTCCAGACTGTCTCCTCCTCCCAGCCCCTTCTCCCCAGATCTCATCCCCAACCCTGATTCCATTAGCATCTCTCCTATCTCCTGAAACATTTCCCAGGTTTCCCTAGTCTAATGTCTTCTCCCTACCTGAGTATGGATCTTGTTTTCCTTGAAATCAATTCCACAGCCCACAGTGATGTTGATGCAGCAGGAATCAGGGACTCGGTCCTTAGGCATACCAGTGATGTTCTCCCAATCTGTGTAGTTGTTAGCTCCACAGCACTCAAACTAGGAGAGTGAGGAGGGAAGGTTGCTAAATCGAAACCCCACTTTAATTCAGAGATGAGAATCTTCAATCCCCACCACCCCTCCTCCCAACCTTCCCACTCACTTCCTTCTGCCATCCGTCCAGAACTAAGGCCGTCTTGTTGTCTTTAAGGTAATTTTGCATCTGCTGCCGGAAGTTCTTATTAAACTCTGACTTCACCTAAAAGTAGAGAAGCAGGTTGTTGAGAGCAAATTCAGGCCCTGGAGCCCCAGAATAGCCCGCAGAGACAGGGTTCCCCTTACTCCCCGCTTACCTTGTCTCTAAACACATAGCCGGCAATGGCTACAGCCACCTCCACTAGCATGATAAGAGACAGGAAGATGGCAAACTGTAGGAGCACAGGACAGGAGTTGGGTTTGAAGTCTGCATTTAAAGGGCTTGCTCTGCTCCACTCAATCCGGAGACACTCCTTGTGTTCCTCGCCCACCCACCTCCCCACAAAAATGCCCTCTGGTAGTCCCAGGAGTCCTGCTCTCCTGCACCCCACTCACTGTAATCATAAGACAGTAGTTCTCCTTGCAGGCCCCACAGCAGCCCACAAAGGCTACCAGGAAGAGGAAGGCGCCCACTGCAATGATGACCACAGGCAACAGGGAGCCAGGCGTAGTCTCACGGGTGATGGTCTGATTCAAAACAACCTGAACTGCTACACCAATGGCAATCAATGCCACTGCACAGGCCTGAGGGGAAAAGTGAGGGTTTGATCAGATCCTCAGTCGAATAGCCCTCACACCTGACCCCCACCCCTGGTGTTTTGGAGACAACGTTTCTCTGTGTAATAGCTCTGGCTGTCCTGGAGGTAGCTCTATAGACCAGGTTGACCTTGAACTCACAGAGATCTGCCTGCCCCTGCCTCCCCAGTGCTGGGATTAAAGGCAGGGGCTACCGCCTGGCCCAGAAAAGAGATTCCTAACACCTCCAAGATCCACTGACTGTAAAGAAATATGTCTGCAGCCGGGTGTTGGTGGCGCATGCCTTTAATCCCAGCACTCGGGAGGCAGAGGCAGGCGGATCTCTGTGAGTTCGAGGCCAGCCTGGTCTCCAGAGCAAGTGCCAGGATAGGCTCCAAAGCTACACAGAGAAACCCTGTCTCGAAAAACTGAAAAAAAAAAAAAAAAGAAAAGAAATATGTCTGCCCATCCTTGCCCCACAGTGAAGGCTGGGAAGTTGTTGGAGACACTCAGGGAGAGAGGAATCGGGTGTCATGTCTTCCTTTAAACTGAATACTCATTACTTTCTAAAGACTCTCTCAGAACTGCCCCCTCACTCCAGTGACTATAGGCCAGGGAGGAGGGAGGCGGGTAAGAGTGGCCCCTCTCAGAACAAACACTAGCTTCTCGGGGCAGGAGCAAGAAAAGGTGGGCAGAGCCCTTCCTTCCACAACTGGACGAGAGGATAGAGATGAATAAATCGGGTGGAGAGTGGGGGTAGCCCCATGGCGGCGATACCATCAAGACCGTTGGCAGGTTGCCCCACTACCCCATATCACAAATGGTTGGGTCACCAGACAGGAAGGGCCAGGAGGGGGTTGGATGGGGGTGCTGCCTATCTAGGGTGGCCATTCTCTGCCCAAACTCTCCTCCGATGTCCGGGAAAGCCGGAGGGAGGGAGGGAGAGAGGGAGGGAACCGGGTGCGTTCTGCCTCTGGCCCTTTCTTGGGGCTTTCCTTCCACATCTGGCCTCCAGCTGCCTTCACTCCTGGGTCCCTCACCCCTCACGGCTCCCCCACCCCGCCGGCGTGCCCCGTCCCTCTGTCCCTCTTCCCCCCACCACTCACGCAAAAGGCCAGCAGGAGAACGTAGAGCAGAAACTTGACACACTTCATTCCTCCTTCCACCGCCATGGCTGCTGGGCCTGGGGCCGCGGAAAGCACGGGGATGAGAACAGGAAGAGGGGGGCACCGGCTCCGCAGCTCGCCGCCGGCCCTCGCAGCCTTCCCTGCGCGGCCCCCATCGCGGCCCTTCCCACCCGGAAACCCGCGGTC